ACTGAGGGTTGCGATCCGTTGCCGGACACGGAAAAAGATAAAAGACAAAAAAAAAAAAAGCACAGGTTATTTGTAGCTGCCCAATTTGGGAGGAAAATTGAGGAGAAGCAATTCAAGCTATCTCAAAACATTTTTGCAAAAAAAAAATTTTTTAAGAGTATAAAACAGTATAGCTTTTTACAGAACTATCTACCTAATTTAAATGAAGATGTAGACTTCTGTAAATAATGGATACTTTTATAGAGAAAAGGTTCTGTATTTTTGTCATTCTGATGCTGTGTGTGTGTGTGTGTGTATACTAAAGATAATTAAAAGTAGAATTCCGGGCCGAGCCCGTGGCGCACTCGGGAGAGTGTGGTGCTGGGAGCGTAGCAGTGCTCCTGCCACGGGTTCAGATCCTATATAGGAATAACCGGTGCGCTCACAGCGCTCACTGGCTGAGCGTGGTGCGGCCGGTCTCAAAAAGGACAAAAAAAAAAAAAAAAAGTAGAATTCCTAGATCATAAGATATGTACAGTAGTCATTTTAATACTGTGGCCAAATTGTCTTTCAAAACGGCTGTGCCCTGTGATTGAACATTTCTTTTTTACATTATCTACTCTCAAAAAACATTGGCAGGTGTTCACAAGGAGGCCTGGCCAAGGATTTCTATTGAAGAATTGATTATAAATAGCAAAAAAATGGTTACGACTAAAATATCTATCAAAGGAGAATGGATAAGTATATGTGGTATGTTCACACTATGGAAGAATAATGTAGATATTTAGTAACTAGTAGGGATAGATCGCCAAGAGGGTTTGTTGAGTGAAAAAAAACAAGTTGCGGAATGATACGTATGGCAGCATCCCATTTCTGTAAAAACAACAAAGTGCCGTAATTCCAGTGGGTGTAGACATGCATTTGGTAAGTTGTAGAAGGGTGCACACTACGTTGCTGATAGGATTTAGTTAAGTGAGGAGGAGAATGGCAAGGTCCAAGAGATTTTAGCTCATATATAATGTCTTAATTCTTTTTACAAAAAAATGTATTCATATAATAAAAGTGTAATTTAAAATTACTTTATATTTCAATTAAAAAGTTATTTGTCTATTCTAAAGGAAAGGATGTTCTTTAAGGAATATATAATATAACATCCCAAAATGAGATATTAACAGAAAAAGAAGTAATGAGACCAGTGGAGCAGTTCTTCCTTCCCCAGACGGAAGCACAGTGTCTCTTCGAGACCTTTCCAGCGCTCTGTCTCCATCAGCCCTGCTCACTTGCACGTGAAGACCATGAACTGACTTGTCATGGGGTGGGTTAGGATTAGTGGTTTTGACATGTAGTGGTGGTGGTGGCTTCATTTACTTAAAGTAACCAAGGTGCATCCTGCCCATTATCCCAATGCACGTGAAGACCATGAACTGACTTGTCATGGGGTGGGTTAGGATTAGTGGTTTTGACATCTAGTGGTGGTGGTGGCTTCATTTACTTAAAGTAACCAAGGTGCATCCTGCCCATTATCCCAAGTGTGCAGTGTGTTGGAGAGGAGACTCTGCCTTGCAGTGTGCAATGGCCAGCTGCTGCCAGTGAGCTCCAACAGGGTGTCTTTCTCCACTCGTTCACTCACTCAGCTTTACACAGTGAGTGAGCAAGCCAGAGGGTCCCCTTCTCTCTTCACTGAGCCTATAGTCTCCAGGAGAAGACACGATGAAGTAAGGAGGACAGTTATATGTGAAAGTGCTCTGGGAGGGAGCAAGTGCAGAGTGCTGTGGCATCAGCCTGCGGAGGACAGCCACCCCCACCCAGGGACCAGTACAGCTGAGCCTTCAGAGGGAGAGTGGGAGGCTGCGGACTGTGGAAGTGGTCAAACTTGATGTGGTGGCGTTCTATTGGCAGGTCATTAATGGGCTGAAACAAAGGATTCTCAAGCTGGAACAGCAGTGCAAGGAGAAGGACAATACTATCAAGTACGGAGCTGTCGTTGGGCTGGGACTGCTGGCTGGAGGGGGCTTCAGGGGTACCTGGGCCTGGCCCACCCCAAGCTAGCTGGAACTGGCACCCTCACTCCTGTCTTTCACTTCCATGTTAGCACTTGTGCTTTCTCAGACCACAGCTTTAGTTCCCACACACCAACCCCTGTCCTGTGTTCCTATTCCCACCCCCCAAAAGAAGGTAAATATTAGCTGCCTCTTTTTTTTTTTTTGTATTATTTGCTTTACCTCCAAATTTCATTAAGAAACAATGTTTTCCTTCCACTTATTATATTTAAGAAATGCTTTCTCCTCTTAGTGTTCTGTGAATCACTTTTTATTTCCAATATGAATTTTTTAGGTCTTGATACAAGCTCTTCCTACTTGGACGTCTCCCATAGCTACTTCTCAGTCGTGCACTGTCCTTGTGCTATATTGTTGGTTTAGCTACACACATTTCTTTACTTGTTTTTCTTCTCTACCTGTCTTTTTAGTGTGAAGGTATAGTCTTTCTTGGCTGTTTGTTTAAGGAAAACTGAGGTTCCACTGTCTATTGCCTCGTATCTCCTATTCCTACAACAGTTCTCCCCCTTGTTTGTTTCTTGCTGAGTCTTGTCAACTTGAAATAAATTTGGTTATTTACTGATTTCTTCTGTGTTTCAGAATACTGAATTCTGTGACTTTACTTTCATTTCTCTGTTAGTGCCTTTTATCTCAAGTCCATTATATGTTGAGAACAAGGTGACAGCGTGACAATATAAGGGGATAAAATGATTCTCTTTTCTTTACAAAACTAGTATTCTCCCACCTACCCGCAAAGATTGTTTGTCCTCTAAACTCTGAGGTCTCTCTTCACCATTAATCCTATTTCTTAAAGACAACATCTTATTTAGAGAAGATTGTCTTGAGGGAGTCTGTGTACTCACCTTGGGAAGTGGCTGGTCTAACAAGGGACACTTTCTGGTGTAAGGAATTCTGTCAATCTTGGAACAAATCATTTGTTTCAAGGCCCCAAGCCATCTGAGGGCCAACTAGGCTTTTTCTTTCCCATCCCACTTCCCTTCCAAAGCCATTCCTTATCTGGATGTTCTGGGAAACCCTCTTCCTCTTGCCCTGTCCCCTGGGAATGCGGGCGTTGCCATATTAACTCTGAGCTTGGGTTTTCAGCAAACTCCAGACTGATATAAAGACCACCAACTTGGAAGAGATGAGGATTGCCATGGAGATGTACTACGAGGAGGTGCGTGCCATCCCGAGCCATGCAGAAGGGGAAGGGTGGTCATCGGGTGTGAAGGGAGAGCTCACTGCTGACTGGGTGAGGACTGAGCCCAGGCAGTGACCCGGGGCTGTGCTCCTGGGAGCCCGCTCTCCTGTTTCAGCTTGACTTTAAAGGAATCCCAGCAGCTTAGTTTTTACTTCCTGCCACTAGGCGGTGATCAGGAATCTGATTAGAGGTTTTTCAGGTCGTCTTTGTGCTTATTTTGTATTTTTAATGCATTTTAATTTGGCATTTGCAGATTCATCGTCTCCAGTCTCTCTTGCCAAGTTCTGAAGCTACAGGAAAGAGGTATGATAATCTGTTTGAGAGCCATGTTTCATGTTGCCTTCATGTTACTGAAACTA